GACCCCTATCGGTTACACTTTGAACCGTTCATTCCAGGTCGAAGCAAGGCATGTATACGGCAGCCAAAGTTCAGATCAGTCCGTTGCACATGTCATAACACGGTATTGCGCCTGGCAGCCCGGGAGGCTTGTCCCAAAGAGCAGGTCCTAAAGATGGTCCACACTCTATCCCCATGGTACACCGGTGATGTTTATGACCTAGTCGCAACCTTACTTTCCCAAGATGTTTTGTAGGGAAATGAGCATATTAACCAGTTTGTTGTTGAACGCAACGTTTTTTTTTCTTCACAGGAGCCATCGACGAACCGCACTAGCTGAACTGCGATCACAAGCTGTAAGTCGTCCGTGAAAGCGTTAGCATACACGCCGGCAGAAACCGTGTCCCAGCATATACTGACGGCATATTTCCATTCACACCTCCCAGCCGTCCCGAGAGCACCGGTCGTGCCATGGCGAACATAACATCATTCGATGTCTACACAAAAGCCTATGCGGAGTGGGCCAGCCGAATGCGTGCTTTACATGACCTTTGACAAAACGTTTGCCCGTCGAAATAATGCTTATGTTGTCGGCGTTTGGCTGAGTTCTGAGTCCGAAGCACAAAAAACGCGCAAAAATAAGACTATTGGCTACGTTGATCCCAAACCAGCGCGAAGATGTTAACTTCGATAGATGTGTTTGGGCCAAGCTTAGCGGTTAGGTGACGTGCATTCTCGACGAAGAACAAAGTCACCTGTTGTGATGATCAGGAAGAAGGAAGGAGGAGTCCGGTTCTGCTGCGACTACCGAGCGGTGAATGCAGTCATCAAGCACGATTCGTACCCCCTGCCAAGGATCGGAGGCCTCCAAGGGAAGCCAGGGTCCATTCAGGACTCGACCAGCGATCTGCCTACTGGGCTGTGCCCATCGCTCCGGAATCCCGAGAAGTAGCAGCGTTCATCACCGAGTATGGACTCAAACAGTGGACACGTCAACCGTTTGAGCTTAAAACGAGTCCGGGGATGTTTCAACGGATCATGGAGGATGTGTTGGAGGGTTTCAGCTGGGAAACAGCAGTGGTTTACTTGGATGATGTCCTCATCTACAGCTCCTCGATGTTGGAGCATCTAAAGGTGCTGAAGCAGCTCCTGGACCGGTTCCGCCAAGCAGGGTTGAAGATGCATCCCAACAAGTGCCCGGTGGCGGTCACGAAAGTCATCTTCCTGGGGCATCAACTCGACGAGATGGGGATCCGTCCCACAGTAGACAAGGTAGCGCCAAGGAAGTGCGTCAGTTTCTGAGTCTGGTTGGCTGCTACCGACAGTATATCCCACACTTCGCTGACAAGTCAGTGTATCTGACCACCCTGCTGCAGAAGGAGACGAACTTCGAGTGAATTGATGGCTGCGAGATCGACTTCCAGACACTGAAGAAGGATCTTCAGTGGTACCCGGCGCTACAGTCTCCTGACCCGGCGGATCAGTTCGTTTTGACAACCGATGCGAGTAACTTTTGATGGGGAGCAGAGCTGAGCCAGTCAAAGGGTGTGGTTGCTTTCGCTTCAGGGAAATGGACGCCAGCGGAGAGCAACTGGAGCGTTGCTGAGCGCGAACTGGGGGTGGTGGTGAAGGCGACGTCGAAGTTTCACCACCATCTGGTGGGAAAGCCGTTCCTACTGAAGACCGATCACGAGGCAATCAAGTTCCTGCACCGCTCGAAGTCACCTTCAGGCCGTCTGTTCCGGTGGATCGAGCAGTTGCAGCAGTACGACTACACCGTGGAGCACGTGGCGGGTCGGCTGATTCCGCATGTGGACGCGCTGTTCCGCAGGTTCGAGACAGACACGAGGAAGCACCAGCTGCGACCGACTGCGCCGGAGTTCGCACCGGAGGAGGGCTTGAGAGTGACTCCAGATGTAATGCTGCGCCGCCCAACAGTCGTGGACGCGCAAGAGCCATCCACGGAAGGCGAGGAAGGTGGCTATGCTACAGAAGACGTCCTGGACATCAATCATCTCGATGACCTGGCTACAGCGACACGGACAGATCCTGTGCTGTACCAGCTTATCCGCCACCTGAAAAAGCAGCCAATGAAGACGGGCAAGTTGACAGACACCCAGCAAGCAGAACTGAACTTCTACACCGGACTGCTTGACTTGCGGCTACACAACGGCATGATCCTGCGGAATTCGAACGGACATCAGAGAGCGCAAGTGATCCTGCCGACAAATGTCGGACAAAGAGCGATGCACCTGGCTCATGACGTCCCGATGTCAGGGCATGGAGGTGTGAGGCGAACACTGCACCGTGTGACAGCCGGTTTCTTCTGGTACAACGTACAGCGCGAGGTGAGACGGTACTGCGGAAGCTGCACTTCTTGCTTGAGAACGAAAACGAAGTATGCAGGCCACAAGGAATGAAGAGGAACCATACCAGTAGAAGGCGAGCCGTTTCTACTCTGGTCACGGCGGACATCTTAGAACTACTGGAAAGAGACCATGCTCACAGGTACGTTTTGGTCATGACTGACCAATTCAGCAAATTTGTAGAAGCATTTGCATTGAAGAGACAGACTGCAGAAGAGGTGGCGCGATGCGTCGTACAAGTCACCTACCGGTTTGGCGTCATGGAGACTCTGTTGACCGATCAGGGACGGAATTTCGAGAGTGTCCTCATCGAAGGAGTCTGCCAACTGCTGGGCGGGAAGAAGTTGAGAACGACAATCTACCATCCATGTGGCAAGGGGCAAGTGGGGCGAATCAACAGGTCGTTACTGGAACTTCTGACTCACTACGTGACTGATAACCAACGCGACTGGGACCTGTGGCTGCCGGTGGTGACATATGCTTACAACTCTGGTTGCCACAGTGCGACAGAATTCTCACCGGGAGAACTGGTCTACGGGAGACCAGTGCGAAATGTTCTGGAAGACGAATTCGACGTAGACAGCATCGAGGATCAGTCTCATCGCCAGTTCTTGGTAAAGCTGAGAAATCATCTGAAAAACGCGCATCAGAAGGCGTTGGACCTGATTCAGCGAAAGTAAAGTCTTCGTACCGAAACAAGACCGGCAACCTTTCGGCCAGGCGACAGTGTGGTGTCGTAACTTCACAGCAGGAAAAGGTGTGACCGGAAAACTGAAGCCAAAGTTCGAGGGGCCCTATCTCGTGCTGGAGGCCCGACTGCCGGATTACTTGATGAGGAAGGGGTGGAAACAACGGCTCGTACACGGCGGACATCTGAAAAAGACAGAAAAGCCCAGATCCGAGAAAGAAATGGCCGTGGTGGAGATTGAAACTGGAACTGACTACATCGACGCTGGACTGAGCTATACTGGAAGGAGATAGCCTGACCGGAGAGACAGAGGTGACGACAACGACGACCTTCGACGGCGGCCGAAGAGAAGCTTGGACCGAGGCTATTCAACTGGATGGACTTGCTTGTATCTAGGATGCAGTGCCGGAGAGCGGGGAGCAGCTGGAACGAGAAGCGGACGACGCGGAGTTCAGCCAGACGGAGCAGCTGGAACCGGTCGCGGTGACGGCCGGAGATGTGACGGTCGACCAGACGACGTCAGTGCCTAGTGACGCGCTGGAGAAAGCGGATGGTCGCAGGAAGCCGATAGACGACCTGGGCGGAGTGGAACGGGACCGGCAAGCGGCGTCACAGAAGCCGCTAGCACAGAAGTCGTCCTGTCCGGTTGTGCCCTCTGAAGCTGACGATGAAGCATTGGTGGCGCCACCTGGTACGGAGTCGGCGGAAGAGGCGATGCCGGTGGTAACCGGGTCAACGCAGACGAGACTCAGTCGTGAGGTGCGACGACCGAGGCGGCACCTCGACTAGTCAGGGACCCATACAGGGTACAGGGTTATTTCGTCTAACGCAGGGATCGTGCTGATTTGTGGAAGTTTGATGGTTGTGCTTTTTGTGATGTGTCGTAGCATTGTGAACGCAGCGGTCTGAGATACAGAACTCTACCAAGTGGGGTTATTTTTCGCACCCTACGCCTAGTTTAAGGTGAGGGGATGTTAGGACCAAGTTTAGCGGTTAGGTGAGGTGCATTCTCGACGAAGAACGAAGTCAGCTGTTTGTGATGTGCGGTAGACGCTGTAGTTTGTTGTGCACCACTTATGCCTCAGGTTTTGTGAACAGCTGGTCGGCAGACGAAACGGGGAAGTGTTGCCCAATAGGCGAGCGCGTGACATTCCGCGGAGGTTTGGAGAGCTGTCCGAGGTGATATGGGCGCCCGGCGAGTTTTCGCGGGGAGTTCGCGTTGGTTGGTGTACGGAGGAGGCACGCTGTGAATAGAAGGCCCGCGGCAGAACATCGCAGTTTCTTTTCTCGGAAGGGAAACGCAGTACGGCAGCTACCAACGAAGTCAGTTAACTAGGCGTTTCAGATAGAATCAGCCCAGACAGATGAGCCAAATTTGTGTGGGCAAATCGCAGGTGAAAGATGTTGGAGAAGTGCCGATAAGTGAGATGCCAGTGCAGTTTGAGGACGGTGATACGACTGTCATCACGCGGCACTCCCTGGAGAGCCATGAGCCAGCCTCACATTGCAGCGCTCGGTGGCCACGTTGCTCAACAGGACTGCGGCCATGAGCCCCGCCCGACACCTCTCGACGCAGTGCGACAGTGCGAATGCACTGTCGGGTCCCCTGCTCTCGACGGACCGCTACCAGCGCCACCTGTCCGGGCCCGCCCACCGACTCGGTCAGCCAGCAGAGCTTCGCCGCTGGGCGATCAGTTCGGCTTAGCTCACTTCCGGCCCGTCGTCCGGCCAGTCACGCTGTACCCGCCCCGCGGTGATGCCGCGGTCCGATTACCCATTCTCTCCCTTTCCGAAGCTCCCCATCCAACACTTTTCTTCACCAATATTCTGACCCAGCCCTTACCCGGCTTTCGGTTGGTCACAGCCCGTACTGACCATCAACAGCCTGGGACAATCCGTCCCGGCCCCGATCAGCCCGTTTCCCTGTGCCGCCCTCGCCTCCGTTCCGTGGCCCGCAAACGCAGTAGCGACGCGACCGACGTGTATTGACCACGGTCACGGTACAGTCTCGCCTAGCTCATTTCTTCTTGCTGTCCTGCGAGGTCTGCGAGTCGCGCATGGAAGAGCGACGGCGGCGCGCCTCCTTCTTCTTCTCCGTGGACTCCTTGGAGCGCTGGGCCAGCAGGCGCGCGTACTCGGCCGCCTCCACATTCCGCTTCTCGACACGGCGCTTCTTGAGCGCGGCGCGGTGCCGCTTGCGCTGTAACAGGGCCGGGCGAGGTCACGGCGGAGCGGATGTAGACGGCACGGAGCCCGGCGCCAGTGCACGCGACCACAAGGCGGGACACGAGGTCGACCGATCTCACCGAAGCAGGCTGAGAGAGCGGTACTAGAAACGATTTGCTCGAAACGGTGCCACATTCCAATAGGCAACAGCGCGAGAAAACGCTTCGAATATAATGGCAGTGCAATATGAGCGTAACAGTGACAGCAGGACAAGGTCATGATAGAACGTCGTGCTCAAAGCTCCACCCGCGCCCAGGCCACTGGAGAGCGTGCCTACATGTGGCAGCTCGCCCCTGCCCCGGGCTTTAGGCCATCAGAGCGAGACAGGCCACTGGAGTGTGCCTGCATGTGGTAACCTGCTCCCATCCTTGGCCTTAGGCCGTGAGAGCATGACAGGCCATGGGAGAGCATGCCTGCATGTGGTAGCCCACTCATGTCCTGGGCCTCAGGCCATGAGAGCATAGCACAACACCCACCTGCAGGCGGACGGGGGTGATGAGCCGCTGGATCTTGGGCGACTTGAAACGCTGCTTGGCGTTCTCCTTGCCCTCCTTGGGAGGCACAGGGCGCTTCAGCACGTACTGCCGCACGTCGTCCTCCTTGGTCAGGTTGAACAGCTTGCGGATGTTGTTGGCGCGCTTGGGCCCGAGGCGGCGCGGCACGGTCACGTCCGTCAGACCGGGGATCTCCTGCCAGCGACACGGTGATCGTCAGACCCGGTCTCTGCCCAGCGCGGCGTACCACACGCCGGGGACGGGGTCACGCACCGCCAGACAGAGCGGTGCAACCCACGCACCGGGGTACTTAACTAAGCATAGGGCGCTGTTGGGGCACAAACACATACAGAATGCGGTGTCGGCAAACCATGGCACGCATCATGGGCCATTAACACGGATGATAAGGAACAGTCCCCGCGGAACTGGACCCAACTGCCAAACAGACCCGAATGTTAGAGTCTAACATACCAGTCTCCAAGTCCACACATGACGCTGGTGATTCCAGGGATCACACATGCAGAGAAAGCTAGTTTGTAACAACGCATATTTGCTCGGAACTTTAACGATACCAGTCGGATGTCCCCCCGACCCCGCACACCAGACACACGGCACCGATATTTGCCCAGTGCAGTCGAGCGTGGCGCACCTGTTCGCCCTTCTTGACGAGCACCAGGGAGATGACGGAGAGGGTGGAGTCCACGATGCAGCCGCGCACCGACTTGCGCTTCCTCTCTCCCTTCCTGCGCGGGCGGTAGCACGAGTGGCCCTTGCTCAGCAGCAGGCGCACGCGGTCTGCAAAGACAGGGCAACGGGTGAAGTACTGTGCGCTTCGACGCGGTGGGCTATCAGTGGCTGCTGTTGCAACATGCTGTTCCAGAATGCTATCAATGAGTGTATGTCGCGCACTGCGTTGTCACCTAGTGTAACTGATTTAATGATGCCTGCAGACTGAGGTCATATGGTAAGTATCCTAACCTCACAATTTCTGACTCACTGGTGCCTGACGGTGCAGGCGTCCGAGTATATATAGCACGTTGGAAAACGCCGTTATCGATTCTCGAACGGAGCCAAATGGCGTCTAAGAAATCTAGTCCTACCCTGTAAATGGCTTGTCCTGAATCACCGTAGCTTCTGCCACATCTGGGATATCACCATAACAGCACAGAACAGACCGAAATTCACATTTTACTGACTGAGCCCTAATCAATCAAACTGCTTAATGGCATGTTGTCTGAAATCATTTATTTCGAACAGTTCGTATAGGTAACTTAAGGGTCAAGGCACTTGTATAGCAGAGCAAGTTGAGTGTATCCCGAACCCACCATCTGCCTTGAACCGATCGATTTCATCGAGCGATTTTGCCAGCAGCACCTGCGCCAAATACCATTGTGGACGAGCTAACATGACGACGGGCGTCACATGACCGCCCCATGCCACGTTGGCCCTCTTGGCCATTCATGACATGACCTTTCCTGATTAGCCTGCCCAGACAATGTGACTGTTTGGTGACCAACACCAACCGTGGCTGGATAATGGCTCATATTTACCTCCACCCAGGGGGCGATAGCTCTCCCTACAATACCTACAGAGCATGCAACCCCTCAAATGAAAAGGGGCTTAGCTCGGGATCACTTACAGCATCATACTAGATAGCTCAACAATTTAATGAGACATCTATTCATATCCGGAATCTTGATGGGGTTATGTCAACTAGTGTGCCACAGCTCTCCCCACCCGGCTTCTTCTCCCCGAGAATTAACAGATTCATGTCTGATTATACTTGTCAGCATTTTACTAGGTGCATCCAACTCACATTGCAGACTGCTCTGTCACATTCTGCCTTTTTCAATTATGGTGATGAAGTAGAGGTCGTACTTACACAATAGTTAAGCAACATTCTTCTACCACACTCTGTGCTCTTTGCGTATCAAAAATGTATTTTGATACATCATACTTTGAGTTCTATCTGCCCTCGGCAAAAATCTCAAGCAGCCTTTGAAGCCAGGTTGTCTGATTAAAGGCAACAGCACTCAGTGCAACTAATTTCTACAGATAACTGCTGACACCGCATCATGGCGAATCTGATTTACCAAGGTTCCCACACATGATATACATTTGATTCTCACCATCAAAAACAGTCAGATACTATGCACCACAATTAACTGGTTGGGGCCATTCAAATGACTGTTCAGTGAGCATCCAACCCTTAGGATGGTGCAACAACTAACGATGGAAACAACTTTGCAGCTTAATTGACCATCTACACAGCACTGCAGCAGTATGCTGCTGTGCATTCAGTGAGCTCTCTACAAACTTGATGGTTTTCTATTGGATAACATATGTGACTCAGGTATATTGTGTTCTGTGATATAACATTGCTGGGGCAACACCACAACCCATGATAATGTTTTTGTACTTGCAATTGTTGTATCACTGTACATGATGTTTTGTGTCACACCACTCAACTTTGTACACTACTACAATTGTGTGAATGCCTCAGGCTGTTGTCATATCATGTGCCACAGGGAGGCTTATCCAAATTTCAAGGGAAGTGGAGATTGGACAGCCTGATTTACCATTCAAGAGTGGTTAGAAGTCATACTTAAGCATTTCTAATATGTTGAACCTTTACCAGTTTCAAACCCAAGCCCATTTTCGTTTTGCACATAAGATCATTCAGGGGCCAACCGGACATGACCTCTCAAGGACATTCCAGTTATCACAGCATAACTAGGAAGTTGATTTTTTGTGACTAAGAATAACCTTGTGTAACCAGGAGGGTTGGCAGTAATTGCAAATGTATTATATATATGGTGATGATGTTTAAAAATATCTCTTACATATTATCTTTTTACTGCAAAATACTGAAGTGGTGATGGGTTATTTTGTTTACCTAATGTATAATACAATGATGCACCATGCACTATTTTATCACTTGTCACATACACATGATCAGGTTGTCATAAAATTGCTAATGTGGCATGTAGCGGCCTGACCATTGAGGACTAACAAGGATATCAAGAACTTGAACAGAATTGACAGTAGCAACCCAGCATTTAAACATAGACCAAATCACTAGCATTGACAGGAACAATCTTTACATGTATATATACACATATATACATGTACACACATATACTAGCAGCACATGTAGCTGCACAACTTAAAGCCACATGCTAAAGATAGAAAAATGACCCTGACTACAGGCCAAGAAAACCTGAGCTGTAAAAATACTAGTCCCTAAAACAAACTTAATCACAATTCACAGGCATTCCATTAATGAACACCAACATTCACAGATGAGCTTGATTGCAGCAAGCCTTTAGTAAAACAGCACACCAAAACTTACTTGTAGTCAGGACACCCTGCTTCATGGGGAATCCCTGCTTGTCATTGCCTCCTGCTATGCGGCAGATGTACCCCTTCCACTCATCACCAATGGAATCCATGTCCACGGTGGCACCAATGCGCTTCTCATAGAAGACCCGCACCTTCTTCTCATCGTCAATTTCAAAGAGCTTCTGTGACCCCTGAGGGGGGTATGATACGTTGAGCTGAAAAGGGACAAAAAGGGAAAAAGGTTAAATCTTGCTCCTGCCAATACTGTCATGAGCACCAAAACAATGCCGGGCCATATACAATAAAACAGATACACCAATTTGCTTGGTTCCAAATTACGATTCAAGCCTCCAGCAACCATGCAATACCCTCACTCCATACAGACTGGCATCGCATCGCGGCATTTCCAATGACGAGCTTTTTAAAGCCAAATATAAGCTCTGGCACCGAAGGCGTGCGCCCTCAGCGACAAAAACAGCGCACGCATTCCCCACGGAGATACAGCAACAGAACACGCGCAGCCCACCAAATCGTCAACACAATAAATGAGACAAAAACATTCATTGCAAAAGCTGGCACAGCGAAATATCACTGCTCTCAGTAAGTACATTCACGCGCTTTTTCCTTACCTTCATGTCCGACTGCCAGCCGGACCGACGGTGTTCACCGGAAAAGGGACAGGATAGAGAAGCGGAAAATGAAGCCAAATGTTTTGGACTACTGTAAGTCAATAAGTGCAGTCGTATCTTTTATGAGAAGAACCAAATTTCCAAAAATAATATTATCTATCTGGTTTTTTACTCTGCCTACTGTGACTCAAATCAAGAAAGTATAAAAATAGTGCAGAGCAAATGCATGGAGGAAATCGGTCGCCAATTCGTGAGCATTCGTAATTGGTTGCACGAATAACGTCTCGTGCCACAATTATACCACTTATACGATTTCCCTTGGCTTTAGAATATAGGGTTCGTAGCTTTAATGATATCTAAGCCGCAAAGGTCTTTGATTTGCGAGTTTACGATCATTTTGACTAAGATGCGTTGAACGCCAGTAGTCGAATTTTGTCACCATACCTTTCGTTAACCGAACTGCAGGTGTGCAAAGCGCTACCGGACATATTGTACTAACTTGTTTTAAGCACGGCTAGCTGTCATCATTACCCTTTGAGTCTAGGCCAGGCCAGAAGCGTTAAATGGCAGGAGATGTTGAGTTGCTGGTTTCGTTTTGCAAGTGGCACACGGATCTAAATCCACGGCTCCAAAAGAACATTTGAATGAGGAAAGGAGCTTACAAGGAAAAGGCAAGTCCATCACCTTAGAATCCTACGTTTTTTAATTGGACTGACCTTTTCAGATGTAGAAGACACTTCATTAAATTCCAGAGGCTGGGGTGCTAGGAAGTGGAGTTTGTATTCTGAGATAAAGCGGTGTAGGTGTCGCTAGCAAAATATGGTTTCTGGGTATAGATGTCGCTTAAAACCACGGGCTGATGGCATGCGGGCGATTAATTTTTTGTTGGGAAGCGTTAGCATTTCTTGGGCTTGAATGCAGGGCCGAATCCAGAGCGGGGAAGGGCATGGGACCATGCTCCAGCCCCATATGTTAAGCTACCGGGGTATTCTAGGTTGTTTAGGGGCCCTTCACCCTCACGCTAGTTTCGGTTAGCCCACCGACACAATCGTGATATGTCCATCAGCCCTCTACATTGGTCTAGGGTCCTTCTAGTTCCCTGTCACTTGTTGAGGGCTATATGCTCTTTTCGGGGTTCCACCTCACTTCGGGCATACTCGATCGTTCGGGGTACTCCACGCTGGGTCTTGGGTACTCCGAATTTCTTTTCAGGACCCCACGCTCTTGCCAGAGGCCCTATCTATCAAGCTGCTCAGACACACAACACTTTTCGGGAGCATTGCACATTGGGTCCTGGGTACTTCCTATCTGAATGCCTCATATGCCGGGGTACACTTGTTTCCTCGAGGGCCATTCATATTGGTCTCTGGTCCTTTCCACTTGCTCGGAGGGCTCTGTGTTGTTGCTGTCGTCCATATGAGGTAACGCACCGAGGCGCTCGATACTCAGGGCCCTCTGCATTGGTCTAGCGGTCTTTCCCTTTGAGCTCGCCCGCGGAAGACCCTTCACTCCTGGCAAGGCCCTTTCTGGAAACCTGCTCGGGCACTTTCGATCGCACAGAGGCATTAATTCACGTACACTGGTCTTGGGTTATTCCCCTATCCTCAGACGGTTCTGTGCTCTGGCCGGGTCCTATATGTTAACCTGCCGGAATACCCCCGATCCTTCAGTGACCCCGCCATGTTAGTTTCAGGTTCTCTCGCTTTCTCTAAGGACCCCACACTGTTGACGGGAGCCTCTTTGTTGGCCTGTCGCATTCCTCGATCGCTCAGGTGCCGCCCCGATTGGTCTTGGTTTTTCCCCGCGTTAAAGAAACAGGGCTTACGCCAAAGACGGGACCTAAATCTTAATGATGATAATTGGGGTTTTCACGTCTCACCGACTGCCAGGGACATTTCGAGACGGATGCCTTGATAAGATGTCATGTGGGATACGGAAGTGGCGTGGCCGGGGCCCGAACCCCAGACCGACAGGTCCAGAGTCGAACGCCCTAGCCATTGCATTTCTACCGCCCCGGAAGAAAGTCTTAATCTACAGGGGCACTCTTGATCGATCCGTGGTCCTCCACATTGGTCGTTGACTTTTCCGATGGAGACAGACGGAGCGTTTTCTGTTTCCGAAAGCCCCACGTGGGCTTGCGGTCGCAATGGCGTTTCACCTACTGCTGTGTACGGGCCTGACTAACTTGATTCATGCTCACGGGTACGAGATCACAGGAGGACGGTTTCTCTCGCTGCCTTAGCCTTAGAGCAGCAGTTTTATGTGCGTCGATGAATTTTTACGCGTGATTGTCGAACATATTTTCACGCTTCACCAACGTCTTGCATATCATTTCCGTTGGTTCCCGGATCTGTTACACTTATTTCACTTGTGTATCACGTTCTTAACACACTTTGAATGTCAGAATATTTTGTTCTCCTTCGCAACAGCTAAAGCAAAAAGTCTGCATTAGTTATCAGACAGCAGCTCATCATACCGGTTAGCCGGCAAGCCGTGATACGCTAGGAATTAAGCTTGTGCGCGATTTTGATGGTATCTAGCAGTCAACTTTAATGTATTTTGCCATGCTTTTTTCCAAAATACTTAGTCCCAAAATGACAAGATACACCGTGATCTGGAGAAAATGAACAAGCTCCATGCATTTGCAAACGTAACACATCTAGTTCTCTCTGGCTACGCAAAGTGCGATGGATTTCTGTTAGCAAACTAGCACATATGAGAACTTTAAACTCTGATGGCGGAAATCCGAGGATTTTTGGAGGAAGGGGCTCCAAACTCTAGGGAAACCTACAATTATGCGTGCCCGCCACCCCTCGACGAAATCCTGGATGCAACCCTGCTTGAACGTGCAAATGCATAGGCATGTTAGTAGACAGAAGTACTAATAACTATGTTTTAAGTCTGCATCAACCGCAGAGGTTATTTACGCCGGAGGGTTAGCGACCATCCGTGAATTACGTTATGCATGGAAGGGCATGGAGTTTTGGTAGAGCATAGCTGAAGCGCAACAAGGGAAGAGGGAGGTTCTGAGCAGCGTAACATTACGTTCAGGTGTGCCTGCAAATCATGTTCAAATCTAACAGTGCGCTACTGGGATTCCTGCCCGTAAGGAAAATCTCATAGATCTCCCGCAATTCGGTTCACGCCCCAACATGGTATGAACGACATCGTTTGCAGCATGATTTGTCGCATACTTGAATAAATAAAGGGGAGGTCACTTAAATGGAAATGTGAACGTGGGATGAAGGAATGAAGCCGAGCGACTCTGGATCCGAGTGCAGGCTAATGTGTTCCGTGACGAAATGCGATATATTCTTCGCCCAGATGAGGGACAGAAAACATGTAAGGCTGCTTCATTCCGCCGATCATGCGCGTCCTAATATTGAGGTGCAAGAACATACCACAAAATGCACAAGGTCCAGATGGAGCCAGTTGGCTAATCCTTCTACCACCAAAACGTCTTCTCACGAGCTTTACGTTGATGAAACGCAGCCCGAAGACCACATAGTGAAGTAGCAGACACTATGGTCAGACTCCAACAGTGATAGGGAGTGCCTAAGGAGCGACAGCGCATTCATGATAGGGCAGAAAGATGTGGCCTTTATCAGTGAGTCCCCGGAAGAAAATGCCCGCTGCCCCCAGCTCCCCAGCTACCAAAATGTTGAGCAGTAAATTCAACATTGTTTGAAGTGACCATAGTCGATTGAGTTGGTCTGTATCACACCAGCAAGAACAGGATAGAACGAAACCCCTACATAGGTCTACATAGCGCCACCACCCGAGCGGTACACCTAGGGCTCATCGAAGAACAGACCTCGGACGCTTTCTTAATGGGAGTGTTCCACATTTGTAAAGGGGTTTAAGCTGAAGTAGCCATTTTGAAGATAATCTGGTGCAGTTTACAACCCTGCCCTTCTTAAGACCTAAACCCCTCTAGCTCATGAGCTACACGTCCGTGAAGATGTGCAAACTTTTCGGGGAGTCTTTTTCAAGGTCACCCAGCCATCTATGACTTCAAAATAATGCTCAAATCCTGCCGTACCCATTATCTATGCGGCGATCAAGGCCGACGAAAAAATAACTTTCGGGTTGTTCATATCTAGCATTCGTGAGCACGATATCCAGACACAACGGCCGTCCATTGATTCTTAATCATTGTTATGCAGGGTACAATGGTGTAGTCAAACAATGACACATCAAGGAGCATAGACTGCTCTAGACACCACATTCTCACTAGATAGGGAAAATGTGGTGTCTAGAGCAGACTTTTCCACTTAAAGTATGCAAATACTTATAAGTTAGCCTTTTTCATCATAGCTGATGTTTGCTTCAATATCTTCAGATATGGGCCATTCCCCTCAAAAGCCTTCAAGTGGTTTACATCGAGATGGTATGACACTGAACCTTTCGGGCAATGCAAAATGCTTCAAGGAGGCGTGCCACATTCTGAAGAACGTCACCAGTGTGACACAGCGTGCATACCGAATGTATTACGCGGCGGTTTCTTCTACGCCGAGCGCCGTGGTTCGGATGCTTCTGGGATAGACTAGCCAGCTTGGTCAATAAACCCACCAAGAAAACCCTCGGAAGATCTCCCCTGATCTCCGATGAATCATATACGTTCCTCGCAGAGATCATGGGCGTTTTGAACGATGGACCTCTGACCTTCTCGTCAGATGATATCTATGCCCTGACGCCCCCGACGCGGTCAGGCCTGATGATCAGTCGCCGCACCACCCACCTGTCAGAGCCGTTTGCAGCGGACAGCGAGCGACCCGTGTCGGATGATGACACATCAAGCACTAACGACCTCCGGTGGAGTTGTCGTCGATGCTTGGGGATTCTGCCCTACTTCTGGTGACGCTGGTGGTTTGCATGTCTGAAGGCTCTGCGAGAATCTCCCCAGAGGGCACGGGACGCGGCAAACATAGTGCAAAATGGAGATGTTGCACTAGTTCACGACAACGGACCATGTATTTTTGGAGCATTGGCAGAATAATGTCACTTAACAGTGGACACGGTGAAACAGTCCGATCCGGCATTTTACGCAGCAGTAC